TATCATAAAACTAATGTTACGGTAGAATTTTTTACCGGGATATCATATACCGTGCCTTATCAAAGCGTTGACTTGCAGAGCAACACACGATTCACCGACCAATTGCAGGTGAGTTCTCGTAGCATTCAAGACAGCAGACATCTTCTCAAAACCACCAAACGAAGCTTCGTACGTTGTCTTCGTAACGAGCAGATTGCCTATAAATTCACCGTTGCTTTGTGGATCTGCCGAGTTCGTCAGCAATATTATCATCACTGACGCTAATAATGACAGTCTATTATTTCCATCCATTTCGGACAGACGACTTCCGCAACAAGTGTTCGCAACAGCTGTTTTGTAGTAGCGCCCTCTTTGTTCAACTTGTTAATTATACGCCTTCTATCGCCAATGATTTTTTCACTTGTTTTTTTTTTCATTTAGGGGTTGAATCTTAGTAATACAGTCGGAAAAACTTAGAAAATTATTTTTTTTTCTTCACTTTGAATTTTTCCAGGATGACGTTGCTACAAATGTGTGTTTGTTTGTTCTTATTGTAATTTTTCAGACAATTCAAATAAAAAAAAGAACTCATTCCAGGCAGTGCACCTGCGACCTAGTATAAATATATCATCCAATTCATCTCCGAGAACAGATTGCAGACATATTCAAAGTTTAGAATTCAATTATTTTTATGCCTGAATGGGACAAACTAACAAATGACTGCCATAATAAAACCATTCAAATTAATTGTAAATAAATCAAGTTTTCATTTTTTCAAAATTATTGACTACATCGAAAAATATTAATATTTCTTATAGTAGTGGTCATCTTTATTTGAATGACATATGAATACATAATAAATTAAATAATTTAATATTATTAACATTAGAATCACCAAGACACTTGGGTTTACAAGTCACTATAAACTGGAATGTTCCGGTATAATTAATATAAACAAGAGATTCAGAACTCTAGTTTAGCGAATTTGAATCATAGCAAGTAACGATATGTTGAAGGGTGATAGTCGACGCGTCACGCATGCTCAAGATATATGGGTCTCATATCAACAAAGATAGCGACTTTGACTGAGACGTTACTAAGCTTTAATGAGGTATTTTTAGGTAATTAATGCAAGTCGCGCCCAGGTCAAACCTTATACTTGTGATTTCCATTGGAAGAGCACATTGGATTGTTAGTGTCGTGTCGTAAGTGTCGCTGCAAATGTCACACATGCACAGCGTGATGACTGCTGTCCTTTAATAACAATGACAGAATTAAAATTATAACTTGGTATTGATCTCATAAATTCTGACTTCGATGGTACATATAATTTAAGAATGCCTGAGAAACAGACAGGGATATAGTGAAAAACAAACAAATGGCTGAATTAAAAAAACAAAAACATTTAAATTTAATATAAGTAAATAAAATTTTCATCAAATTTTTCTTTTGATCATTTTTTTTGTTTCATTGCATGTTTCTACAATAGCTTCAGATTACTCATAGATAATCAAATTCAAATGAATCTGTTATCAGCTGTCTAGTATCCATCTTTTACCATCTTGTAACTGCAAAGCACATACTGTAGAATACTTTATTTTCGGTTGGAATTTATTTTCGCTATTTTCGCTGAAGGGATGATTCCCTGAAAATAAAATCCAGCGATTATACTTTTTTACTATATTTCACATTAAACTCATCGAAAATCAGTGAAAATAAATTCCATACAAAACTCCCAAAAAGCCTTTTCAGCGAAAATTAATTCCAGCAAAAATAAAGTATTCCACAGTATTACATTTGACTCGGATAACACCTTGTAGAGGTAGTGTGTACTGGTCACGAAAAATTAATACATGGGTAAGTATTTGACTGTAGTTTTGAATTAATTAATTGTTTACAAAAATGTAAGATTGTGAAGCTGTGTAAACAAGCAAAGTAATAATTCACAATGAGTGACTGCGATATAAAGACACTACAATGCTTGATAGTAAGTCAGTCAATAATTTAATAGTAAATGATTATTGTGTTTTACTTTAGTAATTTTAATTGATTGGTGAAAATGTCTACAGTCTGAAAACATAACCAAAGGGGTACCCAAAAGTTTTACTTCAGTATTATATGTATTGAATTTTTTAAAAAAAATTTAATTTTAATTTTTAATTTTTAATTTTTAAAATATTTCTAAGGATACAGTAAATTTATCATGTCTTCTTTAATAAATGAAGCCCCGTTGCATTATGGGACTTACATGGTGCATCCCACTTACGTTAACAAATTAGGGATTGCACTCGGTTTAACCTTTTCACCACCAGTTCCCTCTTTTCATCACAAATTCACAAAATAGTTCTGTTTATAGTCTGCCTTTTCGTTCAGAAGATTGGGACAAAAAATAGCCAAATTTTTTGAGTACAAACTGAAAATTGATCCAAATTTTGTCTGTTGGCTTCAAAATTAGGGTTTATTTCCAGAAATATTGAAGAACAAAAAGCAGAAAAATTTTGGCAAAAAAGTCTGGTGGTGAAAAGGTTAAAAATGACCAGTGATGTATCCATTCATTGGGCCATTCCAGTTTATATCTGCACCCCCCCCCCCTGTTGATGAGCTTGTGTGTTTACTTCATACAGGGTATAATTGCCATGGGTGTATAAGTCATACAAAGTTTTATTTCCAAATCACCATTCACCATACAGTAATGGAAATCCAAAACTATAGTTCCTACTTATGGTGTTGATGAGTTCCATTGTGCCACCATACAGAGTAGGATTTCCAAATATAACTCTCATCATATGCTAATTTACCAAGTTCAAAATTTTATATTTGATAATGGAAATCCAAACTAGTTCTGATTCACGGTGTTGATGAGCTCATTCGTGCAAACATCCTTATCTAATTTCAGTAATAACTATTTCATACTGGCCCAATTTTTTTTACCATATACAGTCAGAATACAGTCAGTTTTTTTAGTCATACTGTTAGAAATCCAACCTCATCAACGTGTATGTGCAAGATAAACTAGGCCATATTTTATTTAGTAGCCATAACTGCCTGGATTTCCAGGAATTTTTTTTCCATACTCGTCGGGATTTCTTGATTCTGTTTCCCCATATACAGTTGGAATTCCGGGGTATTTTCCCCATCATACAGTGCTGGAAATCCGACCACATAACAGGGGGGTGCAGATATAAACTGGAATGGCCCATTCCATTTGCCAAATTGGTGTTATGTATAATCATATTTTGTTTGTTACCACAGAAAATCGTGCATAATAAAATGCATTATGGGAAGCCACATTGACTGTCTCCCTTTATATCATGCATAATACCTTCTATTCTTCTCATTCATCATAACTCTTCCAGCGTACTAAAAATATGTTGTAAAAATTGACAACTGATATGATAATTAATCTTATGACCATAGCTTTTCTTCCAGTACTGCTTGACATCTGACCAATACTCCATGACCCTCAGTTCATCTTGCGTGAAAACCTCACACCAACTTATTTCGTTGAATATCGCCAACGTGGTTGAGCACAATGTATACAGCATTTGCACATGTTCTAAAAAAATAAAAATCATTTAATTTCTAGAAATCTGAAACTTGAGATGCCTTCACAATATGAATATTTAATATAT